AAGTTCGATCGATCGAACCTCCCAAATCCCGAGAAAAATCCAAATTCCAGCTCATTAAAAGTTGTCTCATATCCAATCATTAGAGGATTATTGGTGTACGAGCCTAACTCATTTGGGGTGACTTTTGACCTACCTATATAAAGAATATGAGCCACTTTTTGAGAGAGACTTTTGACACACACACTCTTAGAAGATAATACTTAGTGAGGAAGCAAAGGAGAGGAGGAGGTTAGAGACACCATTAGAGACTCTTCATCAACCAAGGAACAGATTTCTCCCATGGAGCTTGCCCTTGAGGGTTGGAGGACATCATCCATGAGTGGCTAGACATCCTCTTGGGGCTAGAGTTAGTCCTAAGCATGCTTTCTACTTTTTAATTTATATATTTTTGAGGGGATTTGTATTGTGATTCATGTCTTGACACTTTTATATATATAGATCTTGTTTACCCAATGATTTATGTGGTTTAATGCTTCCAATTGACCATTTCATTCTATCCACATGTCTATGTATGCTAGAATAGATGTTCATGTGTTTGTCTCTATTTCTTATGTTATTGATGCATGCCTATGTGTATTGATGCTATAGATCTAGAGATTATCAAGACATAGTGCTTAATGTAATGTTCTTGTGGTTTATTTGATGGTTCATACTCATTTCTTGATGGATTGTACCCCTCCCTTAGTTTAATTAGTTTAATTTCATGTCATTAGCTTAGTTGTAGTGTAGTTGTTAAATGGGAGGACAATCCATGCTTATTGTTGATGTTCCATACTTATAAAAGCAAGTAATATATATCTCTAACCTTGTGATGTGTTTGGATTGTGAGCTTCAAGAAAAGATTAATGGCTTAGTTTGATATGTTGTGCTATCCACCATGTTGCTTAGATAATATATGCTTAATTTGTCATCCATGCTTGTTGGAACAACCACACACACACACCTTGTTGCAATACATGTTCTTCCCCTCATTAATCATTCATTAAAGGTGTAGAAAAGCTATGCTTAGTGGTAACCTCTAAACCCCAAGATCTCTCTCTATTTTATTCTCTCTATTGCATTATTGTTTACTTTAGTTTAATTTGCATATAGTGTAATCCAACCAACCAACCACTATTTTGATCACTCGACTTACTAACCCTAATTTTGATTCCTCAACCTAGTACGACCTCAATCCCTTGGGACGATCCCTACTTGCCCTAGCTATATTTTTAGTGAAAGGTAGTAGTGGCAATTTTTAAATGTAAAACTTGACCACATTGCATAAACTTTGGGTTTGAATTGACGACGCACCATTATTGATGCCATGCCTAATATGTTTATTGGATTTGTTATTGTGATATTCGTAAGTAGCTAAGGTGTTTACTTAATTTTGTAGATTTATATATGTGTATATGTGTTATGTTTACTTTTGAGGCTATGTGGATAATATAGCATATTGGTGCTATAATTACTTTTGAAGTTATCTAAATGATGGTGTGAGCTTACTTTTGGAGGTATGACTATGTGGATGTCAAAATTGTACTGGAATTGATAAAATGCTTTCATGATTACATAGAGTTGATTATGATCATATAGTGCTTTGGATGTTGTCATTGCATTAATGAGCATGCCATGATAGCATTGGACATTAGGACATGATTCATGTGGAAAACATGAGCTTATGTGCACCGGTGACGTGCAATTTGATTATATATTGACTTACCGCCAAGGCATCGCTGAAAATAAGATGAACAATAAACACTATTAACGGTTGGTTACCGGCGGTTTTATTCCAGAAAGACCACTTTTACTGGTTCGTGCAATGTGCATGATTAGGGGTGCGTGTGTATCAAGATATCCTTCTCCCTTATTGATTTTGAATATATTTTTAAGTTGGCATCCATGTGCAGTTACAACTTGGTTTATCAAATTTTTTTCAAATTCTTGGTTTTGTTACAAGTTGACATCAGTGTGTAGTTAAGACTTTTTTACTTGTTATATTTCATTTGCTATATATATGAGTTCTAAAAATGAATTGGATGTTATATATTTATATTAAGATTCAGATAATGAAATGGACATGCCTATGTGCAATTAGTAGTTTAGGGTGATGCCTTTGGGACTTCTCCGAAATTAGAGACTAGGAAGCATGTCTCTTTGCATTGTTGACATGAGCCATTCTTGTGAGATCAAAGGAATATAGTATGTGTATGTACCTAGCATATTTCCTACCGAGCATTGTAAGCTCACTCCTCATTGATTCCCTTTTCAAGTTAAGGCAAGGTTATTGAGGATGACACATCTCTTATTTGTTTTGGAATGTGTAATTTGATGTAAATGTATATTTGTTATAATGTTGTATGATTTAATTTGAACAAGTAAATGTATATTTGTTACAATGTTGTATGATTTAATTTGAACAAGTAATGTAAAGAGGTCATGCGGCCATTTTTATGTCAATGTTTATATTTTTCATCATCAATTGCACACTTGTATATATTTCCCTGTACATTCTTGTTCATGATATCTGCCATAGTTTATGTTTTCATGATGGTTGGGATTGGACTTGTTTATGACCTTACTGGGTACCAAGGAGGTACCAATGACCTTATACACTTTTCATTTTGGGCTGTTGCATTTTCTGGGGTTTTGAGCTTGAGCATTTTTCTCAGAGCTTGAACATTTTTCTCATGAGCTCGAGCATTGGTTTTGGTGAGCTCGAACTTTCTATTTTCTGATAAATTCATCACGTATCTTCATTTATGCGTGAGCATTTTTTTTTTTTTTTTTAGAGCTCGAGCATTTGTTGTAGAGTTCGAGCTTTCATCACAACACTTCACATATTGTTTCTCTTTCTTCAAATGGTCATATCTCTTTTATTATAAACCCGAATGAGGTCATTCTTGAGCCCAAATTAAAGGGTTTTGAGCTAACTTTCCAATGGTACACATCTCAGCCTCCATTTTTGGCATGTTATAACCATTTTACACTTGACTTCTACTTTTTTGACCATTTGACTTTAGCTTTCGCATTTGTTGCCCAAGTTCTCGAGCAGGGTTTGGATCTACTTGGTTAATGTACCGGATCATGGGATTTAGGGCATTATACATTTAACTTAATGTGTCATAATCATGATATATAACATTTGTAACCCATTACATGTTTAGACCTAACTATGTCTTATAATTTTTACTCAATGATTTGTAAGATTAGTGACTATTTAGTAATTTGGTTGGATTAAGACGTATATATTTTTAAATATTTATTGTTTGATTAATTATTACTCCCCCCATTTCAAATTAAATATCTACTTCTTTTTTTTTTTCAAAATAAATGTACCATTTGAAAAGTCAAAGTATTATTATTTTTTTTATAACATTACCAATTTAATATTCTTGCATTGAACTTATAAAAAATAAATCATCACATGCTATGGATCCATTATGCACATATTTAGTTATTCATTAATTACCAATACAATAAAAAAAAACTAATCAATTTTCTTAAAATGTTATATTCCCGAAAATGAAACCTTTAATTTGGGATGGAGGAGGGAATATAATTAATCTAATGTCTGATTTTAGTAAATAGGTTATTAAACCGGTTAACAACTGTAATAAACAAGTCGAGTTAATGTTGAATGGCAAAAATACGAATTGCCACCGTAAGATTTAGCAGGGGGCAAAAGCCCCTAATACCATATCATATGCTCTGCTCGTGTCTAGTTTTATCCACTCTTTTCCTTTTACGGTGTGTTTGGATGGATTGATTTGGAGGGATAGGGAGAGAAAAGAAAAGAAATGATATGGTGTGAGTGTATTTGGGTGGGTTAAGTGAAGAGAAAAGAGAGGATGGGGAAAGATTAATATCCCTCCCTATCGCTTATTTGGTTTCTTTCCCATTTTGAGAAGATAGAGAGAGAGAAAGCATAGTGAAGCAAGTGGTATTTTAATAATACCAAAAATAACCTCCACAAATTAATGTACAGAAAAGTTATTCCATTCAAGTCCCCTTATTATAATTCAATTTTTTTTAACTCTGATTTTCTCCTTTCTATTTGCTGTGATTGTATGGACTTCTGCAAATACGACGGTGATTGAAATGATAAGGTTTGCCAATCTAGCACGATGATATATTTATCCTATTTATAATTAACTTACAGAGAAAAACTGAGGGCAATTTATATCTATCAAAACAAGCAATATGGTGAATTTTTTATAGGGCATATGACGATGAAAACCCTAAATAGACGAATCATATGGGTGGATAAGAAACATGAATATATCTTTCCTAGTAGTCGCACCAAATACATGAGCATCTTTTCAACAAAAAATTGGTCAGCTCAGAGATGTCCATAATGGGTTCCAGTGAATTTTGATTGAAAGTTGATACACACTGATGCTTGCAAAAGAATGTTGAACTTTGTTGCTGTTTTCAGAACAAATAAAGGCATCATGTTGCTATTTGAATGGCTTTTTTGAGTTATTGGCTCCAACACTTATATATGAACAAAAGTATTTTTAATAATATTACTTTAATTAATTCTTGGTGTATTTTGATTAAAAGTGTCCTAAAAAATAGAAGAAAAAGGAACAAGGGATTCAAAGCAAGCAGGGAGAGTTTGCTTTAAGGCGACATAAAATAGTTTGGAGGAACAGGGACATTATGAAAGGGTAAAATAATAATTTGTTTATTATTATTTTTATTTTTTTTATTTTATTTAAATACGAATAAATATTATTTCTTTTGAATAACTATTTTTGTATCTAAACATGAATATAAATTATTAATATTATTTCTTTTTTAACTTAACTAATACTATCCATTTTTTTTTATATTCAAACATGATTCTTTTCTTTCTTAAGTAATAATATTTTTCCCTCCACCCTATTTAAATATGAATAAAAATTATTAACATAATTCTTTTTCTCTCATAATTAATGGTATCATTCATTTTCTTTGCTTTTCGCGTATCCAAACGCATCCTTAGGTTTATTTTTCAAACAAACGTGAGTTTAAGTTTTAGAAACTTGTACTGTTCCGTTTGTCGTTGTTTCTCAGCCTCCACGCACACAGAACAAGAGAGATGATGAATAGACTTACAGACGACCTCGTGACCGACATTCTCTCGAGGCTGGCCATCAAAACCCTCATGCGATGCAGGTGCGTATGCAAACTCTGGAGCAATTTAGCACGCGACCTTCGATTCATTCACGCCCACCTCAACAATCGATCCTCCCGGCAAAACCCTAGTTTCATTCTCAGCACTACCATCTGGTTCAATTCCGCCTTCCGCAGCCAAATCTACTTTCTAGAACACAACGAAACCCTGGGTTACACTTGTGAAGAGGTCAGTTTTTCAGTACCCGATCTCAAAGAGTTCCGATTAATCAGTTCATGTAATGGTCTCTTCTGTTTAGTTCATCGCATGTACAGAAGTACAATTTATGTATGCAATCCTTTCACTAGATGTTGCACTAAACTTCCTAATCGGATTGACCCATCGCAGAATATTCTGGGAACGATAATGGGTTTTGGATTTAACCCAAAAAGAAACGAATATAAGGTAGTAGAGATTGTTCATTGCTCTGGATCTGCAATGGCTTCGGAATTTCATTCTCGGGTTTATGTGCACACTTTAGGTGATGGGTCTTGGAGAGGTAAAGGGAATTTTCCTTGTTTAATCCCTTGGGAACCTGCTTCTTCGGAAGCATTTGTGTGTGGAGCTCTTCATTGGCTATGTTTATCCCCTGCCAAGCAAATTGCTTTTTTTGATATTACAAATGAAGTATTTGGATTCATACCGTTTCCTGAAATTGCAGTAGGTGGTGGTGGAGGTAGTTTATCATTGGCAGTAATGGATGGATGTCTTTCCATCACGGGCTCTGCATTTCATGACCATATTGATTTGTGGATTATGAAGGATTATGGTGTTAAGGAGTCTTGGGTTAAATCTTTCTCCATATGTTTTAATCAGGTTATGTGGAACAATTTTCAAACTCCGTGCGTTCAGGGAAATGGAGAACTTTTGATGCTGTATAAGAATCAAGCTTTGTTTTCTTATAGTCCCCGGACCATGACATTGAGGAAGCTTAGCATTGCAGGGCTTCCATCTTGGTTTGAAATGGTTAACCATGTAGGGAGCCTTGTTTCTGTTTCAGGCCGTTAAAGAAACAAAAGAGAATATTGAGAGGTCGAGATGAATGGAGCTGGAATGTTGAATGAAGATGCAAGGAAATTGAGGCCAATCACAAGGATTATTCTTGTGTTCTCCTTGAAGAAGACGTGTGGTTGGAGTCTCGTGTCGCATAGTTTATGATCTTTTGAGTTAGGGGTGAAGTAGCCAAGGCTTATAGGATTGCTTCGGGTTCATTTCCCATCAACTGCTGTAGTGTGGCATCAGAGACCTGAGTTTGTAAACCTTTCTTTGAACTTATTCGTGCTTTTGTTTTCTAATTTTACTTTACTGAAATTAGAAAATATGGTATTTCTATTTGATATATATATATATATATAGGTGTGTGTTTCTGTGTGTGTTAGAATCAAACTGAAGGCAGTAGTAATAGCTGTGCTTTGTAGTTCTTACTGCAGGTAGGTGGTCCATTACAAAGTTTTACTCGTATGAATTATTGTTTAGCCTAAGCACACTCGATTGTCATTTATCTATAATTAGCATCCAAGTATAAACTTATTTGGCTCTTTATGAATTGTTTCAGTTTAAGCTTCCAGGTTGGAAACATGAGCTAGAAACAAATTCAATTTCGCATTATTATGAATGTTGGATACCAATTACCAGGGGCCGAAAAGAAAGAAGATGAATTTGTAGGGTAATTGTTAATTGCTTGTTTCAAAGCACTCCAACTAATCTTTTCATTCTTTTTACTGGACTACAAAACACTAATTATCCAGCTGACTTGTAATTTTAGTCGGCTTTTTTCATTTACTTGAAATTAGTGGAATAAGACACAACAAAATAATTCACTTCTGTTTTTCCAAATATAGCTCATTTCTCCATTGTTTTAATTTAGTACACTCAGTGATTTATGAAATACTCTTTATTTACAAATATCCTTCTTATTACATCTACTTTATGAATCTCTATTTTTAAAAACAAATTAAACTATAATTTATTTTCATTCTATTAGTTCGAATCCATTAGCATTCCTTTCTATTCTCAAAGAACCGCAGATGGCGAGCTACTTTTCCGCTGGACCTCCCTTACAGTATTGTGGCCGCAGTAGACAAATTCATCTTCTTTCTTTTTGGCCCCTGGTAATTGGCATGCTTCATTGTTTATTTTACCTTTTTCAAAGCACTCTTCACTAATCTTTTATTTCCTTTTGCTGGAATACAAAACACTAAATTATCCAGCCGACTTGTAATTTTAGTTGGCTTTCCCTATTACTTGAACAGTGGAATAAGACACTACAAATAATTTTTTTACTTCTGTTTTTCCATCTTTGGCAAATTGAAATTTGTTAACGTTTACTGGTATGCTTGGTCATTTTTTCTTTTGTCTAGTTGATTGCAAGTGAGGCAGGAAATAGTTCTTGAATAGTTTCAGATTTAAATGCCTAAATTTTGGTTGTGAATTTTGAACTTGTTGATCATTTGGTCCCAAACTACTGTAGGTTGTTAGCTGTACTTCATTACACCACTAGAGGAATGGACTTACAGTGCTCTTCTTCCTAGAGTATGTTCTCCGTCCATAATTTTCCTTTACTGCTTGGGAAGTTATCATGAACTAAGAAGAGAACGTAACAGTTTGAACGAAAGATGCTAATATTATACTCAACTTTTATTGTTCCTTCTGTTGCGGATTATTTAGCTTTAAGACAGTTCTGGCTTGTCTCTGAACATCTGCGATTCACATTATTCTGCATTTTTGGACCAAGTTGATGGCAATGAGCTTTGGAAGATCAAGTAAATTTCATCATCAGAATATTACAGACCCACCGATCTTAGCCTTCCACATTTTTTGATTGGATTGTTAAAGGAGGGAGACCTTGCAGTATTAAGTGTTATTCTCCAACTTGTATGAGTGAAAACACATTAAGGCAGCATTGAAGTATATCATAGTAATTTAACATACATATTGGGCAGGCCAGCTGAGGTTGGTTGGACTGAAGTATATTATGGTTCCCATATCTGAGGAGCTATAGGTGGTTGTGAAGTAGCTGAAGAATCAGAGCTTATGTTAGGTGATGGAGCACATCCTTGATGTGTTGGTTTGTTTAGAGTATGCCCAGGTGTGTAATTCTACACACACACACACACACACACAGAGTAGTGTAGTCTTGCTGCACGGGGAGCAAGAAAATTCATCCACACTTTCTAAATTTTAATTTTCTCTTTACTTTTATTGTTATTTTATTAGCCCCACACAAATTAGGGTTTTCGAGTTTCCAACTACTAAACCCTGTACACACAAATTCAAGAGAGATATAGGATGGATAAAGTTGAATATGACAACATTGTCATCCACATACTCACAAGACTGCCAGTGAGGTCCCTCATGCAATGCAGTTGTGTATGCAAACGCTGGCACAACTTAGCACGTGACCGTCAATACATTCAGTGCCACCTCAATCGATGAGCCCAAGAAAATTCTAGTCTCATTCTCCAGGGTACCTGTGGGAATAATCTACCTCTATGAACATAACCAAGCACATGATTACACTTGTACAAAGGTCAGACTTCCACCCATCTATCTCCAAAATATTGATGCAGTACTTCTAATCAGTTCTTATTGTGGTCTCTGTTTGATCTGTTCTCGCAACAAAATGAAAATTTTCTATGTATCTAATCCTAGTAGCGGATCTTATCTTAGACTCCATGACCTGATCAACCCGAAATTCGAAGCATGGAATACTCTCATTGAAATTGGATTTTACTCTGAAAGTAACGAATGCAAGTTAGTTGCAATGTATACATGCAATAACTATATGCCGTTGGAGGTTTTTGTGCACACTGTAGGTACAGATGGGTGTTGGAGAGGTATGGGGTATGTCCCTTATGTAATTAAATCGCAATTGTGTAAATACATATTGTTCATATATGGTAATATTCGTGTATGGATCTCTTCACTGGATTTGTTCGTCCCCTCTTAACCATATTCTCTTCTCCAATATTGCAAATGAAGTATTTGAAGTCATACCAACCCATGAAGAAATTCTCACTACAGGTGGTTGTGCATATAGTTTCTCCTTGGCCTTGTTAAAAGGATGCATTTCCGACACGGACCACTCCTTTTTTGACCGCGTCGAGTTATGGATCAAGAAGGATTATGGGGTTAAGGAGTCTTGGACTAAAATTGTATCAGTAAATTTAATGCAGGTCGGCCGGATAATATGGGCAATTTTGGTAAGTCTTATCTAAGGCTAGATTCAAGAATCAGCAAGGTTAAAGGTTCTATGCTATCAGAAAAAGGGCGAACTTTTGATGTTAGATAATCATAGGGTTTTGCAGTCTTATAATCCACATACCATGGCATTGAGGGAAGTTAGCTCTTGGTCTGAAGCACTCACTTATGTGGGAAGTCTTGTTTCATTTTCAGGCTATCCCAAGGACATGAAGTATGTTAGCTGTGCGTTACAGTTGTTACGGTAGGTAAGCTATTTGTTTCAAATTTCTAATGATCATATCCTATAATATGTTGGTAGTGTAACTATTGTTAAACCTGAGCACAATTGGTTGACATTGATCTACAGATTTACATAATTTATGTATGTGCTTTGATTCCAGTTCAATGTTTTTTTACTAATATTTAATTGCATTGATCAAATGGTAAAGTATTTTAGAACCATATGAAAATTATGTCCCACAAGAATCTAAAAGAAAGTACTGATGTAATTATGTTTTTTTTATTGAGGGGTACGTTTAAGGGCAAGAATCTGTCTCCCATACTAAACTTGTTATCCATTCCTCTTTATATATATATATATATATATATATATATATAATATACATATTTAATTTAGTGCCCAGTTTTTATCCAAAAATAAGTTTGGAATGTTAAGAAAGTGAGTAAATGGGTATAGAATGTCAAAATCATGAAGATTGAATTGTTTTTACTTATTTGTCTGTGCATTTCTCCACCTCGATTCTACATACTTTATACTATAATTTTAAATAAATTAAAACGAGCATACATACCATTTTGTTATTTGATGTATGGGAGGAAACTGATGCTATTACTTTAGAAAGTACCATGTGTGATCAACTTTTAAAAAATTATACTTTTGTACTTATAATTTTTTAAAAAATTAAAATTGCACCCCTCAACTTAAAAAAATTGCATTTTTGTATTATATTTTTTTAGAATTTTGAAATTGTCCCCTCTCCACTTTTAAAAAATGCATTTTTGTATATATATATATCTATAAATTACCTTGTATAATTATTTAAAACTTTAAAATTATCGCAACAAATTTTTATTGCATTGTGTCCTAATGATAATTCATGGCTCTGTTCCTGCCAGCAATATTTATTGCATCTTAATCAGAATAACAAACAGAATGTTATTTGTTACAATTTTTTATTTTTTTATTATTTCCAAGCTAGATGGCAAAAACTGGGACAAGAAGTGCGTGAGTGTTGGATAAAAAGTGGGTGTGTGGTGTGTCTATTGATGGTAGGTTTTTAAAAATATTAAATATTTTCTCTTTTAATTTTAAATTACTTAATATTTATTGCATCTTAATCACAATAACAAACACAATGTTATTTGTTACAATTTTTTATTTTTTATTATTTCTAAACTAGATGGCAAAAACTGGGACAAAAAATGTGTGAGAAGTGGGTGTGTGGTGTGTTTATTGCTGACAGCTTATCTAAGGTTTCTAAAAATATTCAATATTTTCTCTCTTTTAATTTTAAATTACTTGTTTAAAATATCTTGTCTTAGATGGTGTGATGTAATGTATATATATGATCCTTCCATGAACTAGAGCTCTTCATTTAATGTAATGAATTTCAATATCTATACATAATCATCTTGAGTTAAATATCTTGTCTTAGATGGTTTTTCTCCTATGATTATATTGCTGCATTTTCATAGTGACAATGGAATGGAGTTTATGGAAGTGTTGTTAATGGCATGATATTTAGGAGATTTGATAATCTATTGCTTAGGATTTTCCTTTGATAGATTATTCTTGGATTCTATGTCATGTGCTTCTACTATGTGATTAAGGGCTTGATAACTCTATGCTTGGTGAGTATGTCTAAGGTTACAACCTAGTTTAGGTAACCAAAACATGCAATGCTTTGATAGATTATTCTTACCTATTGATTTCATAAAATTCTTGAAGGTAATGTAGCAATTTTATGTTGTTGCATTTCATGGTTATGTGTATATATTATTCCCCAAGTAAATCATGTATTAACATGCTTATGGATAGGTAGTGGATTCACTTCCCTAGCCCTCTCTACCTAGATCTCCTTCCTTTACATTTACTAGCATTCTTGTTTTATGCACACTTCAATTACTAGCTTAGTGACAAACCAATCAATAACTCCTTATTATACCTTATCATTCTTAAATAACTCTAGATACTTAGGTTGCCTTAAGACTAGCGCAGTCTCAGTGGTTCGACTTACCCGACCAATAGTCCTATTTTACAATGATTTGTACTATTGCGAAGGTTGATGTTAATTGACCAACCGATCAATTTTTGGCGCCGTTGCCGGGGAATGCAAACAGTTTAGCGACCATAATTCTACGGTTAAATTTAGTTTGATTGTGAATACTTGTTTTGTGAATATTTCTTTTGTGGTTTAACCATCTTTGTGTTGTAAGTGAGATTCTAGAAACTCAAGGCTTGCTGAGGGAAAATTGAGAAAATTGTAAGTCTAGAGGACTTCCGGTAAGTTTTTCAAGGTTCTAGTCTTTTAAATTGTGAATATCTTGCATGTGTTTAACTTAGTGTTATTTAGCTTGTGAAGCCCTTGTCAAGGCTATTATTTTGTTTTAATTTCGTGTACAAGCATCGGTTCTTGTCGTGGCCATTTGTTTTTGTCTTGATAATTGAGGAGAAAGGGAACATCGTATGTGGAGTATTGATGATGAATTGTATTGTTGAATATATGCTTTGTTGTTGATGTTTGGCCGTAGGTCACTCTCTCTACCCACACTTGACTCACCTATTGATATAAATTCACTTGAAAGAACTCTTAGACGGAACCTTAGGGAACCCACTCTTACAAGGGATCTTGAAACTGAATTTAATACAATGGGAGATAACGTAGGAAATCCAGGGAATGAAAGGCCTGAAATTCCTAATGTAGAACCAATGACTCTTAGAGATCATTTCATCCCTACCACCTATGCTTCTCCTTCTTGCATAGTAATGCCAAACATCGATGCAACTCAATATGAGATCAAATCAAGCACCATCCAAATACTTCCATCATTTCATGGCTTTGATAATGAAGATCCATATAAGCATCTTGATGAGTTCCTTGAAATCTGTTCGACCATCCGATTGAGAGGTTTTCCGGACAATGCACTCCATCTCTATCTTTTCCCATTCTCCTTAAAGGATAGGACAAAATATTGGTTGAACTCCCTCGCTCCCAATTCCATTACTTCTTGGGCTCAATTGCAACAAGAATTCCTTAAGAAGTATTATCCGGTGAGTAAAACCAACCAAATGAGGCGTTCCATTCTAAGCTTTTCTCAAGTTGATGGAGAACAACTCCATGAGACTTGGGAAAGGCTACAAGATCTTCTTCGGAAATGTCCTCATCATTTGATCCCAAAATGGCAATTAGTGCAAGCTTTCTATGCCGGCTTGACCGAAACCCATAGATTCATGGTTGATTTTTCTTGTGGTGGGATGTTCATGTCCCAGAATGCGGATGAGGCTTGGCTCCGACCTCAACCATTGCAAAGAACACCAACCCTTGTCAACCAAAATCAATAAGGGAGGAATCATCTCAAGTGGATGCCATCGCTCATAAATTCTACCAATTGATGGCACCACATTTTCCTCCTTCATTGTCTCAAAATTCGGCAAGTTCAGTTTGTGCTTCATGTACTAGTCCATTCCATCTCTCGGAAGATTGCCCCACACCGGAGCAATTTTCCAATCCCAACCAAGAGCAAGCTAATGCCATGTTCTCACGGCCCGGGAACAATCCATATTCCAACACCTACAATCCGGGTTGGCGAGATCATCCGAATTTCTCGTGGTGGCAACAAGCCCTACAAAATTCCCAATTCCAAAACCAAGGGCATCAAAATCAGCCCTCTTCTCAATATCAAGGTAGGCCTTTCCAAGCCTCTTCAAGCTACCGTCCTCCTTACAATCCAAATGTCTCCAATCAACTTCCTGTATGTCCAACTGACGAGATAGTAGCTGCAAACAAGCAAATGATGGAATCATTAAATAAGCAAATAATGGATGCCAATAAGCAACTCTTGACATCCTTGCAGCCTACTCTCCAAATGGTTCACTCTCATACTCAATCCATAGCTAATCTCGAAAATCAAGTGGGCCAAATAGCTAACTCGGTGAATCAATTGCTTCAAAAGGACAAGGGCAAGCTTCCTTCTCAACCTTTTGAAAATCCTAGAGGAATGCATGTGATTGATGAAACCCCTCCTCCGAGTGGGCCGACTCATGAACAAGTTCAAGCTATCACCACCCTTCGGAGTGGTAGAGTGGTTGACAACAAGGTTGATGGAGACACAAGTGAGAAAAACCCTCCTTTGAAAAATCCAAATCCAAGCTCTTCAAATCCAAATTCAAGCTCTTCTAATCCAAATTCTTGTCCAAATACCATTCACGGAAATCCCACACATGTCACCCCAAATGTGGAAACTACTTATGAGCCAAAAGCTCCGTTTCCTCAACATCTTCAAGAGTCGACACATTTTGGGAACAAGAATTGTAAAATTCAAGACATGTGGAAAGTTTTCAAGCAAGTGAAGATTAACTTGCCCCTCTTGGATGCTATCAAGCAAATCCCTCCCTATGCAAAATTTCTCAAAGATTTGTGCACTCAAAAGTGCACTTCTAAAAATCATTTGCCAAAAAAAGTGAGGTTGACTGAAAATGTTAGTGCTATCATTCAGCACAGCACTCCTCTGAAGTATAAGGATCCG